CATCAGAGCTGCCTACGGCGGGAGCCTAAGGCTGTGCCAACAGCCCAGGCTGGCTCAGATTTACCAGATGAAGCCCACCTTGGAGTGTAGGTGTGGTGTGCAGCATTCAGACACGCTGTAAATTGCCTCTGCACATAAACCCAAGGTTGGCAATCCAGGGGCTGGCAGCACGCCTGTCAGTGGCAAATTTTAGTGTCCTGGTTGCCTGCCTCAGAGGTGCTGCCTTCCCTCTGCGTGATACCTAAGTAGTCAGTAGGGAAATTAAAGGGGATTAAAATAAGGAGGTTGTTTCGTATCCTTCTCTAGATGAACCCAGCCTGAACCAAAGCTCATGGAATTTTCTAATGACTCCCTTAAAATGGGTGTGCTCAATTCGAGTTTAGAAGAGCAGATAAAAGGCAGAGACTCCTCATCTCTGTGAGAAAGGGCCTTTAGTTACTACAAATTACTGTTTTCTCCAAAGGCTGCATTTGTTTTAAATTAAAAAAAAGAAAAACAAGGTAGCGCATTCCGCACTTCACTGTTTGAAATCAGCAGTGGGAGTTTTACTGGGCTTCCTTTGAAGAGAACCCACATACCTGCATTCAGGTCAGGTCACCCCGAGAGCATTTCAGCTCCAAAATGATGATGACTCGCGTGTCCTTTTCCCGCTGCAGTGCAGCGTCGCTCAGCGTTATTCCCACTGCTGTTTATAATTAAACAGAGCAGCCCCCGCTGCCCCTCGTCACCAGCCCCTCTCACCTCTGGGGTGAGAAACAGAAGAAAAGTCATGCGTTCCTCCAAAGGCAACCTTAGAGCTTCTGCTCCAAGCGCCTGCTCCGTGCTCGTCGCCCAACGAAAGGCAAAACTGAACAGCCCCGGCAAACCCGAGCAAAACCTTCTTGAAATCTCAACTCCCCCAACCCCATCGGTGTGGTGGGAGAGGGAGGGCGCTGGGGCTGCCCCCAGGGAAGGGATCACTGGGTGCGGGCAGGTCCCAAAGGGATGGGGAAGTGCCAGAGCACAGGGAAGCTGGAGAAGCACCCTGAGCCAAGGCGATGAAGCCTGGGAGGGGGAAACGCTGCTGCTCTGAGGCTGCAGAATGCTGCCGGTCTTGCTGCTCCTGCTGCAGAAGTGCTCTTGTGCCACGGCTTTGGTGCAGTTTGCCCCGTGGTCTTCCTCCTCCGGCAGCGCCCGGGAATGCTGCAGCCGGCCAGGGTGTTGGGTGCTACGATGGTGGCATCCGCTGCCCACCACTCCAGTACGAGCTGCGGGACAGAGCAAGTCCATCTGGATTACAGCCCCATCTCCCAAACCTTGGTGAGAAACGGAAATTTCAGTGCTCTTCCAGGGCTCCTGCTCAATCTGACATCTTCCTGGAAGTCCGGAGTCATCCGCAAGTAAACGCCGCCCGTTCTCCCTCATCTTCGACGAGTAAAAACCAGCAGAGCCGAGCCACCGTACCCCCGGGGGACACAGCAAAGCAATGCCAGGAATTAGTATAACACCCCCCTCACCTGGGCAGCCTTTGAGCCTCCTCTGCTAGAGACAGGTAGGTGTAATCTCAGATTGATGCTCGCTACTTGCTGGGGACACGGGGAAACAAGTTTTGGTTTTCTCAAAAAAAAAAAGGGAAAAAAAAATAGGTGGGGAAGGAAATTTTATTTCCAAGCTTCTAAAAGGATCTTACAAACCACAGAGAGTAAAAAAATGCAAAACTATATATATATATTTTATATATATATAATTGACAGGGTCCTTTTAAGCAATTCTTCACATTATTCTAATGGTGATAGGAGATACCACGTAACCATATATGCGCTTTTCCCGTAATCCTGATCACTGCCAACAGCTGACAAAAGCCTCCTCATACAAGATTTCCCCTAGACTGTACAGATGTCTTTTCTTGAAAGTAAAGGAGAAGAGAAAAAATTAATCAAGGAGAAAAAAACCAACCAACCAACCAACTCTTAAATGAGGTGTTTGCAGGTAGAGCTGTGTGAAAGCCAGGCATGATGCCTCCTGCATGGCTACGGGAACTCCTTCCTAACCCCCAGCACCTCACCTCTCTGCAGCATGGGCTTTCCTCCAGCATCAGTAATTCACAACCGTCCCAGCCCATGCCCCCACGTGCCCACTTCTCCCGGGTTCTTATGTAAGTCTCCAAACGAGCCCCAATCCCGCCCAGTTGCACCCCTCGACCTCAGCACCGCTACTCCTTCCCACCAATCCTAAGCTCAACCTTTATTTTTCAGGACTTCTTAACAGCTCTGCTCATCCAGGAAGAGTTAATCCCAGACCTCCAGCCCCACCAGCAACACAGCTTCCAGCTCAGCATCCCTCCTGCTATTCCAGCCATCCCTGCAGCAGGGATGCCAGCGGGCTCCAAGCGTCCTGCTTGGTGCATCAACTCCCACTGGGGATGAGGAGAAATTCACGCTTGGCTTTTCAGGATCTGGCACCCACATCGTGAGGCCACGGGCCCAGAGACAAAACAAACAGCTTCAAACCAGAAAGGACCTCAGGAAATAAATGCAGAGAAAGCCCAGAGAGAAACGGAGCCGGGGCAGCTCCGTGTGCTCCAGATTCTTGCTCGCCCTGAAACGTTGTGGCGGCTTTTGGACGTTGCCAGAAAGTAAAC